TGTAGGATAGGTGAAATAGCACAAGCGGGACTGTATGCTGAAGTGCTTACAGTCTAAAGGCAAGGGCCCAAATCCTCCCCCCTCCCCTAGCCCTTGTCACTTGGTGGGGACCTGACCATAGGAGGAACCAAGGCAGTTCCAGGGGCATTGAGGAAAGAGGATGCTGAGATCCTGCCCCTAGGATCTGAGTACTTTTTACATGGATGAGCAAAGCTGGAGCCAATTCACAGAGGTTTTGGAGCCAGGCTGGAGGGCCACCGGCATTCGCCTACCTTCCATGGGTGGAGTGCAGTCGCTCATGCAGAGCAAAGTTCCACTGTCATTGTGTGGCATATGGGAAAGGATTCCTTCCCCTCCAGGCACCCCAGCTTCTTACATAAACCCCTCCTCTTCAGGAGTGAGTATTTAATTCATAGGAATTAACTGCAATCCATGGATAATGTTAAATATTGAGTCCCAACCCATGTCATAAATTAAAGCTGTAATTCCATCCCAGAGGGGCAACAGCACTAGCAAGCAGATCCTGCAAGACGCCATGGACACAGCCCCTTGAACTTTGCACCCTTGGTTTATGATTTCACCAGAAATCTCAATGCAATTATATGCAAGTTCCATACAACTCGGCAGAACGTTGCCCCTTATAAAAATAATAGAACTAATTAATCTGTGCGTTTCTGGTTTTTAAAAATAATACAGAATTTATCATCCAAATGAACACGGCTTAGCAGTTTAAGACATACCAATGTATCTATCGTTGGCACTGCTAGTTCCAGCCAGTCCTTTTGCTGACAAGTGAACTTTGTTTCTGCTGTCATAGTAACCACACATAAGAGCCAATAAATTAGGAGTGTTTTCAGGTTGTTGGATTTTTTTTTAAATTGACTTTGTTAGACTTTACAGCTTGAAAAGAGACCACACAAAATGAAGTTATAAAAAGAACGACATGAACTGCAACTGAGTATCAAACACTGTCTATTTCAACTAGGATCTGGTCCTCCCATCTTGTCTCTCTCATGTAGTGTATCAGTGCCCTACAGTGGAGAAATAGGTTAACTGCAGATGCTATAAATGCAAGTACTGCCCTGCCAGTGACTGGGCCAAATACAGATCTGAGTTACACTAGATTCAAAGACCAGATTGGACCACTGTGATCATCTAATTTTCCCTCCTGTATAACAGGCCAGAGAACTTTCCCAAATTAATTCCTAGAACAGATCTTTTAGAAAAACATCCAATCTTGGTTCAAAAGGTGCCAGTGATGGAGAATCCACCATGACCGTTGGTAAATTGTTCCAGTGGTTAATTACCCTCAGTATACATGATTCAATGGCTGGCAGTTGAAGTTAGATAAATTCAGACTGGGAATAAGGTGTACATTTTTGTCTGCTAGATTGAAGCACTCATTATCAAGTATTTGTTCCCCATGTAAGTACATATAAATTGTAATCAAGTCATCCCCTAAACTCTTTGTTAAGCTTAAAAAATAAGGTTGCTTGATATCACTATAAGGCAGGTTTTCTAACCCTTTAATCATTCTTGTGGCTCTTCTCTGAACCCTCTCCAATTTATCAACATCCTTCTTGAACTGTGGATACCAGAACTGGACACAGTATTCCAGCAGTGGTCATACCAGTGTTAAATGCAAAAATAAAATAACTGCTCTCCTGCTACTTGTCATTTTGAAAGGAAACCATTTTGAAGCACTTGGAGGAGAGGAAGGTGATCAGGAACAGTCAACATAGATACACCAAGGGCAAGTCATGCCTGACCAACTTGATTGCCTTCTGTGATCAGATAACTGGCTCTGTGGATATGGGGAAAGCAGTGGACATGATATATCTTGACTTTAGCAAAGCTTTTGATATGGTCTTCCACAGTATTCTTGCCAGCAAGTATAGATTGGATGAATGGATGATAAGGTGGATAGAAAGCTGACTAGATTGTTGGGCTCAGTAGGCAGTGATCAATGGCTCGATGTCTAGCTGGCAGCCGGTATCAAGTGGCGTGCCCCAGGGGTCAGTCCTGGGGCCAGTTTTGTTCAACATTTGTATGAATGATCTGGATGATGGGATAGATTGCACCCTCAGCAAGTTTGGGGATGACTACTAAGCTGGGGGGAGAGGTAGATACGCTGGAGGGTCAGGATAGGGTCCAGACTGATCTAGACAAATTGGAGGATTGGGCCAAAAGAAATCTGATGAGGTTCAACAAGGACAAGTGCAGAGTCCTGCACTTAGGACGGAAGAATCCCATGCACCACGACAGGCTGGGGACCGACTGGCTAAGCAGCAGTTCTGCAGAAAAAGACCTAGGGAATACAGTGGATGAGAGTCAATCGTGTGCCCTTGTTGCCAAGAAGGCTAACGGCATATTGGGCTGCATTAGTAGAAGCATTGCCAGCAGATCGAGGGAAGTGATTATTCCCCTCTATTCGGCACTGGTGAAGCCACATCTGGAGTATTGCGTCCAGTTTTGGGGCCCCCACTACAGAAAGGATGTGGACAAATTGGAGAGAGTCCAGCGGAGGGCAACGAAAATGATCGGGGGCTGGGGCACATGGCTTATGAGGAGAGGCTGAGGGAACTGGGCTTGTTTAGTCAAACACCATAGAGATGTCCATTACAATCGATACTATTATCTTTATCAAGCAAACTTGTAGTCTCATCAAAAAAATATATCAAGTTAGTCTGACAAGGTCTATTTTCCATCAAACCACGTTGATTGGCATTCATTATATTACTCTCCATAATTCTTTATTAATCAAGTCCTGTACCAGCCTCTCCATTATCTTTCCTGGGACTGATGTCAGACTGACAAGACTATAATTACCCAGGTCATCTGTTTACTCTTTTTAAATATTAACACAGCATCAGCTGTCTTCCAGCCTTCTGGAACATCCCCAATGTTCCAAGAATTACTGAACATCAGTATTAATGGTCCAGTGAGCTTTTCAGCCAGCTGTTTGATAGCTTTTGGATGCAAATTATTTGGACCTGCTGATTTTAAAATATCTAACTTTAGTAGTTGCTGTTTAACATCCTCCTGAGATACCAGCTGAGTGGAAAGAGTTATCATATGACATGACAACATCATCCAGTTTGTCCCCAAACACAGAGCAGAAATACTTATTGAATACTTTGGCCTTTTCTGCATTATTGATAATTCCACATATCCATCTAGTAATGGACCAATACCATTGTTAGATTCCATTTGTTTCTAATAAACTTTACAAACTCCTTGTCCTTAACTCTGCTGCCAACAGACTTCTCCTTGTATCCCTTAGTTTCTATTATCAATTTTCTACAATTTCTAGCTTCTGATTTAATTCATTACTATCAATTTCCTCTTTCTTCCATTTGTATTAGTATATTTTCACTTAGGGCTTATCTACACTATGGTTTTGGATTGCTAGGTATCTCACTGTAAACAAAACAAAACCCCACCTTCTTTGCGGTGAAAGCATAGCAAGGGCCATAACTATACCCTGCACATAGACAAGCTTTGAGTCACTGGTACTATGCCATCTGTACCTGGCCATTACAGCAAACATGCCCCAAACAAACACATTAAGGAATAATTAACTGGAAGGTTTCTTTTAATTAAGCCACTTTTAGCAATAATGCAGCGGAAAAGCCTGGAGCTTTTGACTTCTGAGGTTGTAACCTCTATACAATTTTTTTAAAAATAATTTTTTAGAATTTTTGGTTTAAATTGTAGACTCCAGGCCAAGAGGGAATTTACTTCCTCTCCCAGTATAAGTTTTGGCACTTGAAAACATACTACCACCCCACCAAAAGCAAATGTAACTGATGGCACTAAATAACCTTAGCTGGTGACAATGGACACTGTTCCCCATTTGCTTCTCCCAGTTGCACTCTAGCATGTGCATCATCAGAAAGACTTGGAAAGGCCACACTAAAAATCTGGAAATACAGATTTCTGTAGATTCTGCATAGATTAAAAAACTACTGGCCCTCAAGTTTACAAGGACAAATGCAGGCAGCTGGTAATTTACTCCTAGCCTCTGAGCATAGATGTCTTGCTCTCATCTTGTCCTGTTTGTACTATTTGCTGATAGTCTCTCTTTGCTCTGAGTGCCTGCAGCAAGAAGGCAAAGGCACCGCAGCCCTTTTAAGCTACTCCAGCAGACTAAGGGGACTATAAAGGGGGCAGAAATGGCCCCTGAGAAAAACCTTCATTAAGAATTTTTCCCACCTGGCATAGAATGGCCACAACCACCCTACGTCACCCTTCAAGCATTAAGCGGGGTACCGGGAGTCGGGAGAGGGTATGTTTGCAGCACACAGCATTCTGGGTATTGAGGGCTGATGGCCCACAGAGGGCTTGTGCAGCCAGAATGCATGCGAGTGTCAGAATGCACAATGTCACTCATTCCTAAATTAGGTTCACAAGATCTGCAATGGCATCACATCTGGGCAATTTTCTCCCTGGCCTTGGCCTGCATTTCCAACTTCAGTCTGAGATCCCCTGCCTGGTTCAGAAACAAAACCACATCGTCTAGGGTCTTTACCCACTGCTATTGGTCCTCAAAAACTGGTAAGCAGACGTATGCAGGACTCTAGAGGATATCTCTGCTGGAGCGGGTGGGTGAGATTCTGTGGCTTGCCTTGTGCAGGAGGTCAGACTAGATGATCATAATGGTCCCTTCTGACCTTAATATCTATCTATGCTGTTTCCTGGGAGGTACATGGTCCCCTAGATAAGCAAACGGACTAGCACAACCGGTGCCTGTAGATTGACCTGAATCCTCCCTGATGTGACTTGTTTGACTCACCTCCTGGGGCTCAAACGAGAGGGATATTTGGCCCTTTTGTTCTATTTACTGTTAAAGAACCAGTAGCATTATTAACAGATACTTAGCACTTATACAATAATACTTTATAATGTTCAAAGTACTGAATGTTAATGAATTAACCTAATTAATGTTGCAAGCCACATTTTCAAGTGAACCTTTAGTTTTGTGTCTGTTTTAACTGCAGATACAAATTTGCAGGTGCAATTAGCTGCTGGCACTATAAGGCCTGAGACGAGAGGTACAAGCAGGTCACATCCATCAAGCAGGGGTGGGAGTGGCCAAGAAAACAAAAACCAAGAACCCAATGCCTGACTGTATTTCACTGAAATCTAGTTCATGTGCAGCTGGTCCCTTTGCTGGTCATTTTAAAAATATCCAAAAGCACTTGTCCAGCTTGCAAAATAAAGGGCTGCAAAATTCCAGCATCAAACCTGGAGCCAGGAGCTCTCTGAATCCACTAGGGACTGGTCCACTGCTTCATCTCTTGTAACTGTAGTGTTCAGTATTAAAATACACCTGCCAGTAGCAGAGACCCACTTCCATTTAGTCTGACCCATTCATCAGAGGTCTCCTTGAATAGCTGGAGGCTCAATTTTAACACCAAAAGGAATAGTGGGCCTATCTAACTATTGCCTGGCAGAGGTGATAATGTCATTCCAGTGAGGAGTCTGGCAAACAACACTATATTCTAATGTTCTAGGACCACCAAGCTTTTTCTTGAACAAAGAGATCCATATTTGGTTTCAGATTGCAGCTATATTGCTTTTTGGAGGTTGGATGCTGCTAGCATTTGGAACAGTTCTTACCTTGTCTTGGATTTCTATATCTCAGGGACTTTGCCAGAGGAGGATCATCTGCAAAACATCTGCAAACAGCTACAGGTATTTACCTTTCAGGAGATGAAGTTCCTTCAGGTCATTACAATTCTAGCCTCATTCATATTGTCTGTCACTCATGCTCCTGAAGGCTCCAGTGACACCCACAGGTTAGTGGTGGTGTCCAGCAAACTGAGCCAATGTGACATCGATAATGATAATGAGAGTTCATGGATACAGCTGCCTGTGTGAAATCCATGCTCACCTCTCTCCAAGTCTTCTGTAGCCAAGTCTCCCCTCATCACCCTGCCAAAAAATGAATAAACCACTTTCTGAAGCAGGATCTTCACCCAGTGGTTTCCAACTGCCTGTTATCTGATGTTGGAAGCTCTGTCTTTTTGCACTGGTATAATGGCAGGCTTGCTTGTTTTTTACCCTCCCGCCAGTGATTGGCACAATCTTGGGACTGCTAATTTTTCCATGTAGTTTGGATTCTGCATTCGCTAATGAAATTGGTGGTTATTCCTCCACAGACAATGCTGGGAAACGTAAGCTTGGCTGGGACTACACCATGGCTATCCTGGATGTCGTTCTACCATGTTTGTTGCCACAGATACAATTTAAATGAGGTCAAGTCCAAAGTCTTTTTCTCTTCTGCTACAGAAAGTAGAATTCTAGTAGGAGAAGATGAACAAAATAATCCATCAGTGAAACTAGTGTTTTATGATTGACTGCTCCATGGTTTTGTACAGATAAACAAAGCCAGGGCGTAGCCTTTTCTTATCCAACATGCACTAGGCCGCAAGTAACCCCCACCTTAATGCTAGCAGAGTGGTGGGCCAAATCCTCAGCTGGTGTAAATCTGCATAATTCCATTGAAGTCAATGAGCTACATACACAGCCAGTAGCTGAGAGCCTGAGCCATTGTTCCCACAGCAGTTAGTAAACTGTGTCTCCTCTTTACCAAAGCAGCTTTGTTTCATTCTTACAATGACCAGTTTTCATTGTCTGTGCTGAAAAGGAAGGAATGAACGAGAGGAAGCTCAGGGGTGGCAGCACTGGAGTCCAGGCAAGCAGGCTCATAGCACAGAAGTAGTGTAGAACAGCATCTGTCTGAGGCTTGATTAACCAGCACTGGCAGGCAGCATCTGTCCAGTTCCAGATAATGATAGGGTTAGACAGCCAGGGCACCACGGGAGACCAGAAAGGGGCAGGGAATGGAGAGAAAGAGGCAGAGCTGTACTGGGTAGGCAGTGGTGTAAAAGGGAGCAGATGGATCTGGCAGAGAAAAGGGGGGAGGCCTGCTGGGGGTAGGATGGGAAGAGGGATGTCCCTGGCAGGAGAGGGAGTTAAAGAAATAGCAATGGGACCCTGAAAGTGGAGGGGAGAGGCAAGAAGTTCTGGAGAGATCAAACAGGTGCAGATCTCCTCTGACAGACACCTTCAGCAATAGCATCAAGAGGGTTCTTGCTTTTTGTCTCTGTAATTCCAGGTCAGGTTACAAGCAAGAGGGCTGGTTTTCACCCCCCTGTAACTGCCATCTTCCACAAACTCACCCTGGGATCTAGGAGTCAAGCTGGTCCCATTCCATCTTGTGCCTTATCACCAGCAGTAAAGGGAAATTGGGCCCAATGCTGGTGCAGCTGATGTAGCAAAGTGGCAACTGACTGGGTCGTCGAGAACGGTTCTGCTGAGGAGGCACCACTGTGTTGCTGGGTACACCAGAGCCATGAAGAGCCCTGGATTTGCATGAAACTGAAAATCTCACTCCTTGAGCTACTGGACCCTACCTATGGCACAGACGTAAGATATTAAGATCTAGTCAGAATACGTCTCACCATTCCTACCTTATTAAGAGGAAACCACACCTTGGAGGCCATCCCATTTCACAACAGAGTATTACTGAGATACTGATTGGAAACTGGAGAAAACACTGCACAACATGATGTAGGATATCGTTAGCAGCAATCATAATGCTGTAAATACACACTGCACTTTGCAAAAGAGAAAATGTATTCCCTGCTACAAAGAGCTGGAGCTAAGAGGGTTAAAGCACGAAGTGCACTTTCAGAGAGGCCCAGACATTTCAGTGATTTTTAGATACACATTGGAGACTTCCTTGTCAACACTTTAATAAACCTAGACATGCCTCATTGCAGATTAAAAGAGTTTGCACCACTGCTAATTGCAATTTGGATAACACAAGCATGTGTTAGTTTCTCTCACACAGCAACTGTATAAATTCTTTCCAGAATAGGAACAAAATATGTTACAGGAACAACTGGGTAAGTCTTCTGAGATTCTCACTTTTGGATTATATCTGTGGAATTATGGTATGGTATAAACAATGAGTTGTTTTGATGACTCATCTCTCCTGATGGTGCAGTAATGAAAACCCCCTTTATCAATTTCTGGATGCCCCCTTAAAATGGTTTGTTTCTGTGGCATCTGCTCTCCCCAACATAAAAACACACAATTAAGAAGAGGCACCAGAACAAACATCTCTGAAGATCTTACATTCCAGGATTCAGCAGTGAGCTCTATTTTGATTTGATTTCCTCTGACATTCTGAGGCTGTTTATAGGCAGAATGACTGTCATGCACGAATTGTGTGTTAGGGACACCTGTTGCTAGTACAATTTTAAAAGATACTCTGGGCTGCCTCTCTTTGTATTCAGCTTCTTTGAGTTCAGGGATCTGAGTAGGCAAGTAGTTGGATGTTCTGCTCAATAATGTTTGGATTATATTGTTAGCTGGGAGATTTATCTTCCCAGGAAGGCCAGGTGGGAAGTCTGGAGTGGTATGCAAACTGAGTGACACACCAGTCTGCCAACGCCACAAAGGCAGGAGAGGAGGCAGTGAGTAAGAGCTGCTAGGCAAAGAGTGGGTGTTTACTTCTGTCAGGCTGTAACCCACCTTCAGAGCAGCGCTGCTCATGCTAACGTGAGGAGAAAGCTGCACACATGAGTGGGACAGTACCAGCAAGATGCATAAGGCATATGGGTTGCTCCTGTGAAGTGCTGAGTGCTCTCAACTCCTATTAAAGTCAAGGGGAGGCGTGGCCTGACTGTGCAAGATGCTGAAAGCCCCAAGGTCAGAGGTGCTTGCAGGAGACCAGGCCACAAATGATGGCTGCCCACAGCAGGACAGAGAGCTTGGCAACACAGACGCGGGGTGAAATGCACAATTTTTTTAAAGCGTGGAGCATCACAATTTCAATTGGAAGCATTTTAGTAACATGCTCCCCTGCAGAGATTTCTGTATCTAGCTAGCTCTGCAGCCCTCACCATCTGTAACTCTGTTTAGATCTGTGTGTGTCTCTCTGCATTCCCATGGATCTGTAGCTCAGATTCCAAGCTTTGGAAAGACACTGAGCTGTAATTCCAAAATGCACTGGTATTTAAACATCTATCCCTTTAAGCATTCTTTTAGGTGTGTCTATTGTTATCTGAATGTTTATTTTCACATTTTCCAAACAAAACGTTTCCACCCAATATTTTGAACAACTCAGTCGATAGTGTCCCTCTCATACTGCTGCGACACATCAGACATGCCTAAGGGTTTTATAATTCTATCCTAATCCAGATCATTCACTGTCAAGATGCAAAAGCAGATGATACGATGAGGTAGTTGAATTCTGCTTCAGCATTAATCAGATGGTATCTTTATCTCCCTAAGCAAGTACATCATACAAACCTCAGATGGATTGGCAATTGGATGCATTATTCATGCACTGTTCCTGGACAACTAAGAGCTTAAAAAAACCTCTCTTCATTCTCTCCTCTCCTTCCCTTCAACCTGAGCAACAACCCAAAGAGGACTTGACACAGCTGCACCACTAGAGGAATCCTACTTCATCTTCCAAAAGGGTACAAGGGAGAGAGAGAAGAGCCTGGTGATATCCACCACCTTTTCTTGGCTAATCTTTGTGTACAGAGGGCCAGATGCAGAGTCCATTGAAGTCCATGGAAAGACTCCCACTGCCATCAATGGTCTGTGACTCAGGTCCAAGCTGAGTGGGTTTCCACCTGCAAAAGCAGTCTTTGGGTGTTTATGAAGGACACAGGGTGAGAATGACAAATATTTTGCATTTTTGCTAACCACTCCTGACTCCCCACAAGAGTGATGATCTTCACTGGCAACATGTAATTGTATCACCGTGTTCTAAGAGAAGGCACGTCTAAGACTTCTTTTCTATCCATGCTGCTGAAACAGCTTCTAAACCAGTGCCAAAGCTGGAAAGAAATTGCTGGAGAGAATTAGATTGTGAATGTACCGCACAAGAGACTCAATTATCCAAACCTCCATTTCCAACCAGCTGCCAACATGTCTCCCTCTTCTATTGACTCCTGAACAGCTCAGTATCTTCGGACGGTTGATTAGGATTCAATTGTATGTCGCTTTCCTAACACGCTCGAAGAGTTTTTTGAAAGAAAGGAACTCAGTTCAAGCATTGATCTTTGTAAGTGACAAGACCCATCGTGTACATATGACCCATGAAAAGCTTTCTTGTCAATGAGAGTTGTGTCTACAGATTCAGGTTCTGATTCTCCACTGCTTTGATCCTGCATCATCATTTATACCTGTGAACAGTAAGACTACATCCTGTGTGTAAAACATTATTCCGTTTGATAACATTTGCACAGGTGTAACCGATGGCAAAAGGCAGTGAAGAATCTGGCTAAAAGATACAAAACTTTCCACAACCCCTTTCTTAGTGTGTCTAGTCAGTAAAAGCACAGCAATAAACAACAGCCAGGATTTTATTGATTTGAAAATACATTTAACCATAGAGAATATAGTTTTAGTTTGTCTTTTTGAACAACAGTAAAGAACAATTTACAAAGAAAACCAAAAGCATGAGTAAAATATAAAATGGATCTTATACCACAGTGTGAAGTTGAAATATGCCAAGACAGACTTTAGCAGCACTTCTACAAATGTTATAATAAAAGCTACAATGCTCATTAATCTCATATAGAGTGAGTCCCAGAGACCAAAATGGCATCCTATGGGTAAAAGCAGCAATTCGTTGTAGGGCAACATAAGGTTTAACACCAGTTCATACAGTACATTCATAATCCTGTTACATTTAATTCTTTTTCCAATACATCCTTGTGATAAGTTTATCATTAATTTCTCAGATGTATAAGAGGTCTGCCTTCTAAGGTTTCCCACTGTACTTAGCAAAAACTAAGCTCGGTACTATGTGCTTTAGAATTATATAGGTGCCAATCATGGGTCCATAGCGAAAGGCAGAGTTGCATTTTGTACATAAAGCAGGGATGCAATCTCTGTTTATGAAAAATACAGATTATTCTCCCCAGACTCTCAGCACTTACTTAGAGAAGAATGACAGGAGTACTTGTGGTACCTTTGAGACTAACAAATTTATTAGAGCATAAGCTTTCGTGGGCTACAGCCCACTTCATCGGATGCAGCTTATGCTCTAATAAATTTGTTAGTCTCTAAGGTGCCACAAGTCCTCCTGTTCTTTTTGCGGATACAGACTAACACAGCTGCTACTCCGAAACCTTAGAGAAGAATGAATTTTCTGAGAATTTACAAGTAAATCTGTTAATTAATTTTAGGAGTAAATTAATTTGATAAGAATGAGTCCCTAAAAAATTTAGTATCCAGTGTCAGACCTTTTTATTTTACCTCAATTATCTTAGTAAGGAAACAGCACAGCCTCTTCAAATTTCTCATACAGTTAGAGCTCACTGAGAAC